TGGGAGGCAGTGTCTTCTTTCTCCCATCTATTGTGGGTGCCTGTCCATGCCCTTTCTTTGCCTCTAGGTCTAGGGCTACCTTACTAAACGAAGGGAAGTTGTGCATATTGATGTTGGCCTCTTTTGCCAACTGTTTCCTGAGAGGCTGAGAAAAGCATCTCAGGTACGAAGTCAACAGGACCTGGGGGTCGTAGCGCACCCGAGGGACACAGATCAGGCGCTCAACAACGTGCCTCGTGTGCAGTGTCAGGATCGCATCAGTGGCCCTTTGAGCCTTCCGAGGATCGTGCCACCTCTCCTCCACCATCTTCAGGAAGTCATCCAGTTTCTGGGTGGCTGCCCAAGCGCGGAAGTCATGACCATATCCCTGAAGTTGCACTAGACCGCTCAACCATCTTGCTGCACTACCCTCTAGGTAGGAAGCAGCCACAAGCACTTCGTGTGGCAAGGTGAGTTTACACCTGACGCAGACCCGCACTGACCTCAACCACGTGTCGAGGTCTTCGCCCCTCTTATCCTCTGTGAAATGTTTGGGAGCGGGTATGGCCGTCTTTGGAACCCACTGAGTTTGTCCCGGTCCCTGCATCACTCTGGGCTGTGGACCCGGTGACACAGGCTGCTGTGCTAGCTGCTGAGGCTGCGTGCCCTGAGGCTGCACAGGCTGCGAGACAGCAGGCTGCGTGGTGACTGCAACCTGCAACGGACTTTGAGTAAACACTGTCTGTACAGGAACCTGCACACTACTCCGTGCTGTTACCCCTCCTGACAGCGGCATGCCCAGGGAAACGATAGCAACCGATGAAGGGGCTACATATGGGGATACCCCGGTCACCAGTGGGACAGAAAAGGGAGGATACGGCACGGGCCAGGCACCAGGCCTGGCTGGTGATGGTGCAGCCTGCTCACGCCTGCCAAAACGGCTAGGCTCTGTTGAATGTCCTGAAGGATGGTAGTTTGATGCTCCTGCATCTCTATTACGCCTAGCAGGGCCTTCCTAACTACCCTCACATCATCATCCATATGCGTCAGGTCCATCATTTCTAACTCCTCTATATCTGCCCCTCTTCGCTGCATCCTGGCTCTTCTTCTGATCATCTTTTCTTTTTCCGCTTTTATCTCCCCTAATGCCCGCTGTAGCTGTGCCTCCTGCAGGGCTGCCTGCTGGATGGCGACATCTTCTGGAGATAACACCGCGGCCTGGCTTTGCCATAATGCCAGTGGACGGGCTCATGGTCTGCGCGACTGTTGACCCAACAACACCTGAACTACTGGCTTGGGAAATCTGCTGCGCAAAAGTGGACATGGCTGTAGTAGTCATGACTGCTGTAGCACCTGCCTCGCTAATTAAAGTCCTGCTGGCCTCGGCTGCTCTAGCCCTCCTCTGCTGCTGCTGTCTCTCCCTCTGCTGTCGGAACAGATGTCTGTCACCCTCGGGTCCTAGGGACACGTGGGCTATCGGGCCTCTAGCTGATTGCAAGGTCCTGCGGTCGTCCTCTCCGGTGTTCTCCTCGTCGCTCATAGGCTACAGCGCTGTGCACTGTCTACACTAGATCATTCAAGATGCCTACCACAGCATAGTGCACGGACCAACTAATTAATCGGTGGCTATTTCGGAATAGATATCATTTGAGGTCAACAGGTAAGTCAGATTCCTACAACTGAAACTATTTTTAGTTTGACTTGTCCGCAGACAGAAGCACCAGGAACAATAACCAGTTCTAACTAATGCTGTCTGTCAGATGTCCATGGCAGTTCATCTAACTAATCAAAAACATAAAAATAGAATCACTTGTGTGTATAGGACAGCATGGAATTTTCTCGAACTTGTCACCTCGAATCAACTCCTCCCTTAGTTCGCCTGAGTATCACTTGACGTCAGCGTCCCTGAGTAATCTGGAGAGCAATGCGTGTCTAAAGGTGTGTGTCCGGCCCACCCCTGTGCCCCGAGTATCCACTGAGACGGCCAGCCTTGCACGTATATTTATCCTCGGCGTGCCGCGAGCCTTCCAACCATTGACTGATCCAGGGGCAATTTAACGTCCGCCCCCAAGTGACTCCAGGAATTATTTTACGTCGCAGCCGGACGACGATCACAGTCAATGGTTCCCCTTCCCGTGTTTATTTATAGATGTTGGGTGCTCGTCTTTCCTGTAGGGCTGGCCTGCCCAGTAGTACCCATCTAACAGCGCAGCAAGCCAAACAAAGGACAAGCAGCTTAGGCATGTGTGCTCTACTCCCTGTGGGTTGGCATGGTGACCGTGACCCAGTGCTTCGTCCAGGGCCCTTCAGAAAGCTTCGCCCATCTCCACCCAGATGCTCCACATGAACATTGCCGACTCTCAAGGTTGAGCGCACTCGACACCTCACAATGAGAGGACTCTCAAGAAGGAACACACAACCTCACGGTAAGAAGTGTCGGAGAGAGTAGATAAGTTTAAGAGCAACGTACCTCATTTAGCTGCCCCCAACGACAGAGATAATCTCACCAGATGACCAAATGGCAATTGCGATGACCAGTCACTGCATCGGCACAACCAGCATCGTCCACCGCTCCACCTCAGCATCAATCGCACACTAGATAGTTCTCATCACACTGTCCAGACCACATTCACCTCACGTAGCCTTCCTGGCGATTCCCCTCACCTCCTGGGTCGCCTTACACTCGTCTCCACCCTCCTCACTACACACCACTTACGGCCAAACTCGCACAGCAGACCGCATGTATGTACCGCATAAGGCAGAAGACAAGCGCCAGATGAGCGCAATCGTACCACAGCTCCGATACCAAATTGCAAGGAAGATGAGCAATAGCGAACTCCAGCAATCAAACAGCATCATACATATGAGTCCAGATAGTCTTGACCTCGAACCACCAGCAGAATTGCATCACGAGATACACCAAATAAGAACACACCAAGAGTTCATAATTGACAATGCTGAAGTAGTCCCATACATCATCAACGAAGAACCAGAGTTGATATCCTATCTGGCGCTCGGCGCCCAGACTACAAGTGGCAGACCCTATCTAGCCTATACTACGAAGCCGAAAGATGACATCAACAGCATTCCCGAAGTACGAGCACATGGCGACCAATGTCACACGCTTCAGCACCAGGTATGTCTCGCGCTACACTCACAACCTTGTTCCCCAACTCACAGATGCCACTAGCACCCAAGGACCACCCTGCGCCTCGCCCAGCTTACAGCAGCGCAGCTCGGCTATGGCTGCGTGCTCCTTCCCTGCTCGCCCGTGAGAGCGTAGGCGCCAGCCAGCAAATAGCGCAGCAGCAGCGCTTGCGCAGCATGCAGCCAGCACCCGAATGCCGAATGAGGAGACAGGCCCTTCCCTATATCGAAGTGGCCTGCCTGCGTCCAATCCAGGAAGCTTCCAGTAGGCCCCGGTAGCCTGAGGCCCAGCCACGAGGAGAGCAGGCCTTGGGCCTGAAGTGGTTGCATGTGCCCAACTGCTTTCGGCCTGTGTTTGGCCCGGTACTCGTATCCAGCCCAGGGCCTGCTTCACGTTCATTCACACAGGCGGCCCAGGGCCTGGGTTCACTCAACCAACTGGCACTGCGCAACTGCCTGAATTTCCCTGAGTTGCGTGGTGGCCAGAAAAGGGCCCTGAGGGCCTCGTCGAGCCTGCCTTCACTTAGGGCGGCCGACGGGCTGCAAAAATGGGGGCCATATGGGGCTCTTAGAGGCAATGGCCTCGCACATGGACTAGTTGCCTTGTTAGCGATTACCAATTAAATGTGTCAAATTTAACCATTATAACTGTGCGGCACCCGTTGTAGGAACCATGGCAAGCTTTTCATCAGACTAATGAAGGAAGTGAGGTCTTTTATTAACTACGTGTGACATAGTGCATCAGTCGCTCACACAAGTTGCTGACCTCCGCTGATTTGCCCACCATATTTCATCTCTTCTTGTGCCTTTGGCATGCCGATGGGGAAATCAAGCTGACAAGCTTTTCAAGAAAATGAGTCTTTCTGACTCAGCCAGTCTGTCTGCCTTTTGCAAAGCTGATGTGGCTGTGTTATTTGGTTTCTGGAGATGCTTGTTACCATCTGGCATTTCCTGGCATGTAGATAGGATAGTCGTGCTCTATTCCGGGTTGCACTATTGAGATCAACATGAATTGCTTGCCAGTGTTCTCTTGAAAGTATGAAGATCAACATTGGCTTGGAAGATATTGCTGCTATTGTCGTGATCTGTGACTTTGCCCCTTACCTTTGTGCTCTCTTCTGTGAACCCATTGGCTCTTTAAT